CTCTCTGCCCTTCACACTGACAGCTGAGCTCAGCCTTCTTCCTGCTCACTGGCATCCTGGGCCCTGCCCACTCTCCCTAGTTCTGCCTCTGGACCTGTGCTGCCCACGCAGATACCCCGAGTCTGTCCCTCAGCCAGTGAGAATGGCACCACCTTCAGCCACTTTTCTTCCTGCTTGGTACTTCTAAGATTACCTTGGATTTTACCTGTAACCAAAATTATGTCAGCAAACCTGGCATCTCGTGTGTCTTCTAGTTTGTTCTCAGAATAGCCACAGGAGGCAGGTATTACTGGCCCCACTTCTGGAGAAATTGAGGATCTGAAATTTACTTGTCCAGTGAGAGCCCAAAGCAAGATTTTGGTGACTCTGCCTACAACGCTGCTGCTGGCTGAAAAACCATCATCTCCTGGGCTTCACCATTCGAAAAATAAAGACAAAAAGACAAGCCAAAAGAATGTACTCAGCATTGAGACTACAAGTGCGTGCCTCAAGGGAGCAGATCTAGTTCTGTTTAACAGTTTACAAAACTCATTTTTTTGCCTTAACAGGTGATAAATGCATACGCCATGACTTGCTTATATTCCAGTGAGTTCCTCTTTGTGGCAGGAAACCCTAGCAGCCGAAGTGTGAATTTCGGATGTGAACATGGTCCCGGGAAAGCATGTGCAAGGAGGCTGTGACAACCCAAAAGGAACAGGGAAGGTCTCCAGAGACCACCCCCCCACCCCCAGCTGCCCATCTGAGGGTGGGGTCAACAGATGCCAAAGGCAACAAAAAGAGACTGGAACATGTGACTGAATGAACTTGTTGTTCTAGAAATTCTAGGAATTCTTTCAAAATGCTAGACAAACTAGATTTTTCCCAAAGCATTTTATCTAATTTCTGTGAACTTTTTCAATGCATGTGATTGTTGCACAGGCTCCTGCAAGGTCATTTACTCCCTGTTCCTACTTCCTCTCTTTCATGCCATCTCTTCCTGCGCTTCCACAAGTGAAAACAGGCTGAAGAGAGAAAGTAAGAAAATCTCCATTCAATACCGAGTTCCCACCAGAGCTGCTAGTAAAACAACAAATTTACCATTTGGCTTACAAGCAGAAGGAAAGCATGTGACCTCTAGTCAATGATTCCATTTTTTTTTTTAAGTGACAGCAACACAGAGCACAGAAGCCAATTTATATGGGTGTGTAACAGATCTGCTGTGAAATGCTCATCTGGACACAGCCTTAACCTCCCGTGAAGTGGGACATGCTGCCCAGGCCCTCTCCTTGCCTTAAACGCCCCCAAAGAGCATCTCTGCCCTTCCCCTGTTCGGAGGGAGGTCTCTGCACTTCCCCAGTGACCTGGGGCAATGGACAGGATCCCGCAGCTTTAGAAAATTGGAAGGCACTGCCAAGGTCATACCATCTAACACCCTTGTTTTATGTTAGGGAAAATGGAATTCAGAGACATTAAAATGCAGATGGCAAACTTATGGGTGTTCATTTACAAAAAGTGGAACCACATGAGGCTTTAGTCCTAGAAGAAATACAAAACAAGTATCTAGAACATGCAAGGTCACTCTTGCCAGCCAATCTAATCCTGAGTCACAGATTCTCAAGCCACCACAGATACACATTCAGCTCCAGTTTATCTGACTCAAATTATACCAAAGGAAGGCAAGCAGGACTAAGTTAAGGCAGCTTACACAGAACAACAACAAAGAGGACGAGATTGTGATCTCGTGTAAAACAGAACCAAAGACAAACACGAGAATCAGAAAAGGCGCCATGAGCAGCTCTGTATTTGGCCAGCTCCTCAGAGGGACTCGCTGCTGGACTGCTAGATCACTTCAGTCGCACCAAGTCTGTTTTTATAGGACTGTGAGAGACACATTATGCATGGATGTGCTTGGTGCAGCACCTCACACAAAACCAGAGCAATGAACACTACACTTTGCTATAGTAAGTAAAGCGATATATAAATAGGAATTTTTAAGTAATCACGAATGGCTACAACTTAAGTCATTCATTACTAACTTCCTGTTTAACAGCTTTCCTCAAGCTTGCCTCCATGTCCTCCCAACTGAGCTATAATCCATTAATTTATAAAGAGTTTATTTCAGATGAAGATATTTGACTGTTTAGCACAGTCTGAATCTTTTTGGGAGGTCCTGTGTGAGAGCACGTGTGTGTTCCTGAGGTTGTGCCAGAAGGAGACATGCCAGGTAGCTGATATGAGATTATACACACAGTAATGATATCTGGACTGGTGCACTAGCTCATCTCTTCTGGAGAATAGATGCTAAGAGGGTCCCCAAGATTGGGCTCCTCACTCCTGTCTCAGAACACACTATGGAACAAGAAGTCTGGTAAGAAGAGAACATGGTGTTAAGAGGCAAAGAAAGAAGGCAGAGGCATCACTAGCCGGGCACCACTGGAAGGGGAAGTTTTGCAACAGAGAAAACCAGAGGACACTCGCAGTTTGCCTGATCTTGTTTAGCCAAAAGCCTGAATGTAACACAGCAAAATTTAAGCCCCTAACTTTTCACATATAGGACTAAAGGGGGTGGGGGAGGAACTGACAGGGATAAAACAGAAAATGTCCTTCATGATTTTAAACTTACCATGTTTTCTGTTTCTCAGAAGCAGTAATTAAAAAGAAGCAGTGCCTCCCCATTACCATAAAATTTAACTACAACCCATAGGAAAGCACGGTATCAAAGGAAGCCAGTTCAATAAAAGGAAGGGCAAACCCCTTTATTTTTAGAATATGGAAACAGAAGGCTCCTCCTATAACTAGTCAATGCCCTGTGTTCTACCTACAATCAGAAATGAAGCCCCCTACAAGACAGACCTCAAAACATAGAGGTAGGACCTAAGCCCTTTAGATAGAAACAACCTACCTTCCTGTCCAGATCACAAGCCAGTCATCTTACCCACTTTACCTTTTACCCCCTTTCCTTCTATGGTTTGGTATTAGGTTGGCAATATGGAACTGCCTTAAAAAAATCTCCCGGGGCTAGCATGGAGACCCAGCAGGTAATCCTCCCTCCTGTGGCACCAGCACCCCACTTCCCACCCAGTTTGCTGCTGCGCCCTAGGAAAGTGGCGGACGATAGTCCACCCCATTTCCCACCCAGCTCACTACTGTGCCATACATAGGAAAGTAGTGGGCGATGGCCCGCAGCCTTGGGCTCCTGCACCTGCATGCATGACCTAGCTTCTGAAGGGTCACATTCCAGCCGCTGCAGCCATTTGGGGAGTCAACCAACAGATGGGAAGACCTTCTCTGTCTCTCCTCTCTCTGTAAAATCTTTCAAACAAAAATAAAATAAATCTTTTAAAAAATTTTTAAAGAAAAAAAACCTACCTCACACTTAATATGCTCAGACCTAACACTGACACACAAACCAGTAAGGCCAACACTCAAATGAGTATCATCAACTCTGGCTAATAAGGTCCCAGTGGAGGATACCCAAAGACCAAATTTCAGTTAACTAGAATTTTAAATATCTTGGATCTTTTTTTTAAAAAAGAGATCTCCAGGCTAGGAAGGATTTCAAAGTTGAGCTTGTTTCTCCTGAGATTAATTTAGTTTCAGTGCAGCACAGAGGCATCCCTAGTGGCCCTTTAACCCACTCAAGTCTCCTCCCCAGGGAGGCATACAGACCAGGTACTGCCAAAGTCCACAACTGCTGAAGTCCACAAAAGCAGCCACAATTCCCCAGCTTGCCCATCTGGGAACCCAGAGGGGCCTATCCTTTTTGAAACTTCAATTTAATTAACTGCCCAGAATACAAACTCTTTTTGCCACTCATGCCTAATGGCTGTCTCCAACACACAGGGCCCCACCATAGAATATTAAGGAGAAACTCATTTGTTGCTAAAGTGATTCTCCAGCTTCCTAATGAAAATCTTTGTTGATTTTATAGGCCATACCATTTTTCTAATCTGCAATGGTTCTATGAACACAGAGCATTACCATGCAATTAACTACCTTATCTATTTGGCTACCAGAACAAGGCAAACAAAATGCAACCAAAAGCAAAGAACACTTTAGAGTCTATTCTCCTCTCATGAAGAACGTAAATTGGGCATAAAATGAATATTGACACTCTGATCAATTTAAGAATATTATACAGCTTTGAAGGACTAAGGTCTGATAAAGTGATAAGCCTACTAATCCTGCTCATATTAAAGTATTCCCAAGGTGTGAGACCAAACTGTTTACAAAAGTCAATGAAAAACTACAGACACAAATTTCAACTCATTAAAATCTCTAGCACAATATTTCACTCATAGGATATAGTGTCTAGCACTACTTTTTATCCTTAACATGTTTACTGTGTGGCAATTTTGATGGATGGTTTACTCGCTTCTAAGAACTGTTAACTCTTAGTAAATACAATCGAAGCACAAAGTCTTAAATTTCCATAGTTTGACATTTTTGGTACCAAAAAAGATAATCCAAATTACAAATCAGGGCAGCAAGCTGCAGTGGAGTGTAACACTATGAACTGCACACTCCTCACAATGTAGGGTTTATATAGGACCAGCTTGTGGTCCAGCTTGTCTATTATTCTAACTGGGAAGGCTAATGCAGTGACAAGTCATATCCACAATGTGTCAGCTGACCCAACAGTCTGGACCCAGGGTAATGCCTACATAAAATTCTCCCACTGTAACAGAGAGTGCAAGCCAGGTCTTTTACCAAGCTTCCCACAGACATCAAGGATCCCGACAAGCAAGCACAGCACAAATGGCCTCAAAAACATCACGTAACGGCCTCACTCCTTCCTTCTAAGCAGTAAAGAGGAGAGGACCCCACCAGATTGTGGCTCCCCCTTAGGACTTTCAAAGCCCAAAACTATTCCATGTCTCTGGAAGAACCCCAACAGACATTTCAGTAATGCTGCTTTTGTTAAGTTACCTAAAAGCTTACAAATTCCAGGATCCCTCATGGCCCTCCACACTGTGTCCACCCTAAAACCATGCCTCTCCACAAACACAGACCCACCACACAACCTACACTTACTTAATCCAATAAGGCCAAGTTTCCACTCTAACGCTGGCACTAGTGATGTAAGTAGCACTTTCACCTCTGAAAACACCGCTGAACACAAGACAAGCCTGCAAAGCAAGCAGTGACAGCCCCAGCCCTGCCCTGCCTTTAACATCAGTGGCTACTGGCACTCCACCACTTGTGTATCTGCCAGTGATGCCCACAAGGACCTGGGACTTTTAGCTTTTGCTTAAGCTGCAAATCCTTGTGAGTACCACTAACCAGAACATGGCCAAGACAGGTCACAGGCAACTGACTGTGCATCCCCTAAGATCACGCCTGGCTGAAGGCGACACTACAAGAGCTGAGGGACACCCATGGCAAATTCTTTGGGTTCCAGGGAGAATGTCAGATAGGATGGAAAGGATCCCTTAACCACCTAAAGGATCCCACTCAGGAACTAATGACTCTCGTCACTGTGAAAAAAAAAACTTCCTTGTATTACATTTCTTAACTAATGCTTCAGTTTGAACCCAAGTCCTTTTTGGAAACATGAACAATATTGTAATCATGAAATAAGCATACAAGTTAGTCTTTCTAAATTTCCAAAGACAAAACCCTTGCAGCTGCCTTTGGAAGTTATGAATATCCTTTTTAGGAAGGTGTTGATCTTTTAAAATGTGCTGGCTACACACAATGCATTATTTGCTGTTTGGGGTTGAAAAATGAGAGAATTCTGTACAGTTAGCAACTCTATCTTAAAACATTTGAAGGGAATGTAGCAAAAGAATCACGAATGAATAACTGAAAGTACTGCTTAGAATGATTCAAACCAATGAGAACTGTGGTATGTGAGGAAGGCAGGGAGCACCAGGCTGGGACATGCTAATCCAGCCAGGGGAGTGGAGAGAGAGGCTGAGGATTGCACAGAAAGGCATCAGAGGGATCTGGGGACATACTAAAATGGGGGCAGCAGAGGGTATATATGACAGAAAGAATGGCTTCTGGGGTTTTCCACAGACCAGGCCACTGTACTTGCAGATAGGTGAGAGAGCTGAGATAGAGTGGGTTAGAGGGAGAAAACTGGAGGGCATCTGGGTCAAGCCAAGGCACCCACCCACGTGGGCGATATGGGTTGAGCGAAACAGCATCACCTGCCTCCCACTGGCATATACAAAACATGGAGCTGGGGCTATGCCTGGCTGGGATAGGCTGCAGTCCCCACCACTAGCGTCACAGCAGGAGGTAGCCACGTCAGGTTGGGCCACAGCACACACTAAAATAACAACCAAATCTAGAGGTGTACAGGAATTCTGGAGCATCGGCCACATTGCAGCACCAGCCAGTTTGCGCAGAGAGCTGGGGTGGTGACAGACTGAGCCAGGTTGGACCACAGAACTCAGGAACACATCTGATATTTGCAGAAGCTGCAGCTGTGAGGAGGTCAGGCAGGGCTAGGCTGTAGCACCTACCAATATATCAAAAGTCTGGTAGACCACAGTAAGCAGAGCTGCTGCACCTGCTGGCAAGCATGGACTATGGGGCTGGGAGCAGGCCTGGCAGGGGAACTTTGGAGACTTCCCTGATAGGCTGCAGCTCTAATTGGAGAGTGCAAGAACCAGGGCTGTGGGTAGGCCAGGCCAGGCAAAGCTGCAGCAGCCATCAACATTCTTGTGGGCTGGACAGATTGAGCTAGGCTTTAGAATCCACTGGCACTTACAAGAACCAAAACGGGTGTGGGATGGGCCAGGTTAGGCCACAGCACCCACCAGATCACATGAGAGCTGGGTCTGGAGATGGACCAGGCTGAGCTAGGTTGTAGCATCCACCAGTCAGAACTGGAATGGATGCAGATCAGTCTGGTTAGGCCGTAATACGCACCTATGAGTGCCAGGACTAGGGTGGCAATGTCAGTCTGGGCAGCAGTATCCACCAGCACACACAGGGTCTAGAGACTGGGAGTATGCTTGGTAGAGGAACTTGGGGAACTCCCCTCCTAGTCCATAGTTCTTGCTGGTGAGCACAAGAGCTGGAGCTGGGAGCAAGCTAGACCAGGCTGGATAGTATCACCTGTTGGTATATGTATGAGTTTAGTCTGGGGGCCGGCTGGGCAGGGTCAGTCCATAGCACACAGTGGCACAAGTGAGAGCCAGGACAGGGTGCAGACCAGGCAGGGTTGGACCACAATACCCAAGAGTTCACATGAGGGCTGGGAGTTGGACTAGGCTGCTGCACCCACTGGTGAGAGCTGGACTGGGCTGATTCAGGCTGCAGCACCTGCTGCCAAATGCCAGGTCTGGGGAAGGTCATCTCAGATTTGGCCATAGCACCTGCTAGCATGTGTAGGTCCCAGGGCTGGTAGCACGCCTAGCAGGAGAACCTCTAGGACTCCTTGGCTGGGCTGTTGTTTCCATGGGTGAGTGTGAGAGTTGGAACTGAGGGGAGGCCAGGCTCAACAAGGCAGCAACACCTGTTAGTATATGTGAAGAACGGGTCTAGGGGCTGCTCCGGCTGAGCTAAGCCGTAGTACTCACGGGTGTGCACAAGAGTAAGATGGAATGTGGGCTGGCCTGAGTTAAGCCAAAGCAGAGGCTGCATGCACAAAAACAAGGACTGGGTGAGAGCCTGGAGGTCACCCTGATCAGACTGGTGTATCCACTGAAATGTGCATTGGTTGATGCAGGTAACAGGCTAAACCTGACCCTGTACTGGCTAGCACACATAAGAGTCAAGTGTGAGGTCACCTCAGATGAGGTTCCTTGAGGGAAACTATATCACTGGACTCAAGCCCCAGCCACAGGGAAAATCACAAGATTTGTGGTCCAGTATTGGAATGCATGTATAAGGACTGGGCCTCCTCAGCTGCTGATATCTGTACAGTGCACAGCATGTCCAGATACACATGAAGGACATGACAGTCAGCTGATGTAGGCCAGCAAAGGACACGGAGTGCCTTGTCAGAGGATGGAATGCAGAACAGGTTGGACAGTTCTCCTGGCCAAGCTTTGCAGCATGTTTTTGGGTCTGTGGATGACCTGGTCAGCCAACAGACTTTGGAATGATTTTCTCAACCCTGGTGCAATAAAACCAATAACATCTCAGAACTATTAAAACCGTTCAAAAAACACCCTTGGATCACTTTTCCCCAATGGGGGTCTCTAAGGTATCACTCAATGACCATGCCCCATCCCTGGGGGCGAATACAGTCTGACAGCAAGGAGTTGCATTTCTGCAGACACAGAAGAAAAAAACACACACATTTGTCCCATTAACTTCATCTCCACCCTAATCAGAGGCCCACATGGACATTCCTCTCAACTGTATAAACAATATTAAAAAGTAAAAAACTAAAAAAAAACCAAATGGTCTATCATTCACTTTATCAAATAATTCATTAAGACAGATACCAGTCTGTATTTTGGATAACCATTTTCATCCTCAAAAAAGCCATATATTTAACTACAAGAATAGCAGGATCAGGAAAAAAAAAATGTACTTCCACTAAAAATGTGTTCTAGCTTGGATTCAGCTGCTCAAGATATATACCTGATGATTGCTCTAAGAGCCTTGTCAAGAACCAGGGATACAACAAAATGAACCCAATCAGTCCCACCCAATCTTTGTCAGAAGGATGTTTAGGGAATAGAGGCCCCATCAAGACAGAAGGACTTCCCAGGACCCTGACTCAGTCAACTGTATTGAGAAAACAAACCAAAGATTAGTTTTTCCCTTTTACCTTCCTTTTTTAAAAAAAGGGAGTAAAGGGCCCAGCGCCGTGGCCTAGCAGCTAAAGTCTCACCTTGAACGTGCCGGGATCCCATATGGATGCCGGTTCTAATCCTGGCAGCTCCACTTCCCTTCCAGCTCCCTGCTTGTGGCCTGGGAAAGCAGTCAAGGATGGCCCAAAGCTTTGGGACCCTGCACCTGTGCAGGAGACCCAGAAAAGGTTCCTAGTTCCCGGCTTTGGATTGGCGCAGTACCAGCCGTTGCTATCACTTGGGGAGTGAATCATTGGACGAAAGATCTTCCTCTCCGTCTCTCCTCCTCTCTGTATATCTGACTTGGTAATAAAAATAAATCTTTTAAAAAGGGGAGGGGGGAGAGAATGAGGGTGCATTCATTCAGAAAATGGCAAGGGGAAAGAGAGGGTAGACACTATCTGCTAGGTTACATAGCAAAACACTTGCAAAATGGGTTTGGGCTAGGCCAGACAGAACTCTCGGTCTCCCATAAGGGTGATCGATCCAAATTATCTGTTGTCTCCCAGGATTCCCAAAAACAGGAAGTTGGGTTGAAAGCAGAGACAAGACTTGGCATTCGAGCATTCAAATGTGGGATGCAGACATCCTGCAGTGTCTTAACTCCCATGCTGACCCTTAGCTCCATTTTAAACTTCAATTTTATTTCAAAAATACTGTGACTGGGAGGACGAAATGGGGGAAATTTCTACTCACTTACTCCCCAAACAGCGGAACAGCCAGAGCCAAGACTGAGTCAGGTAGAAGCCAGGTGCCTAGAAGTCCCTACCTTCCTCATGGCAGCAAGAGCCCAAGAACCTTGTCTGTGCCATCTTCTACTGCTTCCCCAGGTGTATTACTGGATCAGAAGCAGAGCAGCTGGAACTCAAACCAGTGCTCAAATATAGGAAACCAATGTTGCAAGTGGCAGCTTAACATGCCGTAACACTGGCTGGACTTTACCTCCGTTTTTAGCACAGAGAAATTCATCCAAAATTAGCCAAGATCCTAAGTAAAGCCTAGTTGAAGTGCATCTAACATGAACTGTTTCAACCCACTGGCAATTTCAGAAATTAATTCATTATCATTCACATTTAAATAGCCTAAAATTAGGATCCTCTTATTTAGTCAAACTCAATCAACACGTTTTCCATTCAGTAAACATTAGCTGAGCCCCTACTGCACGCTAGGCACTATGGAGACATGTATAGATGGCTGATAACACAAAAACTTGAGATGGAATATGTTCAAACTACGAAAGCCAAGACCTTGAACTGGAACTGGAACTGGGACATAAAGAAAAGGCAGGATTGGGGTTGCTGGACAAAAGGGAAACTGAATCCCATTGTTGATGTGAGGACAAAACATGGGCCATGGCTGGTGTGTACACCAGGCATGTGGCAGTTAAAGATGCTGTGCTAGAACCAGCAAGACTCTGCAGCCAATCTGGTCACCAATATGTATTCCTCCCCAAAACAGTCTCATTCAGACAAACGACTTGTAAAATTTGGGCCTTGATTCTCTCATCTCTAGGAAGGGAATACTAACAGCACTTATCCTATTGGGAAGAATTAAATGGCCAGTAATACTAGTTAAAAATTAGCATTTATAAGGGAAGGTTTTTAAAAAAAAATGCTAGCAAGGTATCTAGGGAAGAGAGGAAAACGGCTTGTTTATATTTGAGTTCAAACAGAGAGGGAAAGAGCATATAGGATGGAGGGCAGAACACAGTAAATCCTAAGTTAGGGGTATGTCCAGATGCACACAGAGGACATGACAGCCAGCTGGTGTAGGCCAGCAGAGGACACTAACTGTGTCAGAGGATAGAAAGCAGCACAGGTTGGACTGCTCTCCTGGCCAAGCTTTGCAGCACATTCCTGAGCCTGAGCATGCACTAAGGTGCATGTAAATTTCTCTCGATTAAGTAGAAGCATCTGCAGGAGTGTGGATACAGTTTGTCACCCAAAGGTTCACATGCTGGCAGTTGGCTCCCAGTGGGTAGTACTGAGAAGCAGAGATATCTTTCAGAGGTACAGCCTCGGGATCTCCATATGAAGGGATTAATGTGTTTGCCTCAAAGAAGGAGACCCAGGCTGGCCCTTTCCATGGTCCTTCAGCTGGTCCTTCTGCTGCTGTAGCCAATGTCACCTCACTATCCCACTCACATGTGAGTCCATCTGCCACACTGTGTCACGGGCAGGGGCCCTCAACAGAGGCCACAGTGCTGTCATTTAGAATTTTTTGCCACCAGAATTCTGAACCAAATAAATCTTTTTTTTTTCCATCTCGTACCTAGTCCTGGTGATTTTTGTTACAACAATACCTAACTGACTACAACAGCATCACAGAGCCCTTCTCCACCCCAGAAGGCAGACTTGGTTCCAGGATGCTGCAAGCAATGAGAAGCTGATGAGGAGAGAGGAGGAACTCTAGATTTAAGTGGCATCTTCAGGACTTCCTCACTCTGTCCATCTGCAAATGATGGGGTTTTACATTCAAATAGCTATTTGCCTTCTGTCTCATGACTTATACAATTCTGGGTTGTTTCAAAACTCATGGCATAATTTCTTGATTTTTTTCAGAGTCAGAAGGCAGGACACTGAGTAAGGGGCTGTTTGTTTTGAAAACCAACATAAAAGTCTCCCTTCACGAGTTCTACTGTGTTTTCACCCATCTTATCCCTCACTCACAATGTCACATCACAAGGCAAACCCAGCTCTTACATCTTGTAGGTTTATTTTGGTTTCTTGAGGTCATTGTCTAGGCTAGACCATAACATCTTTCAGGTTGTTTTGAACAGCTAAAAGGAAATTAAGGGAAATAATGCCCTACAATGTAACCATGGATTATTCAAAATAAACTTGGGTAAAGTGACAACAAATTACTCACAACTTTAGGTAATGACAGAAGAGTTCCAGAGCTAACACTAACCATGCTTCGAGTGTACGGTGTGAGGATACTCTGAGGTGGTGTGGGATCCCCCGTAATCTCCCACCATGCCCATTATCATGAAAGGCACCACACACATACTCTGGAGAGCAGGACATTCATATCCTGGAATCTCCATTTTTCAATGGTTGATGTCCTCAATTAGAATCCAGTTGTAAAAATACATGACTGTGTGGTATGTACCTCAACAGATCCCCTTCACCTTACCCCTGCCTCCAACCAGACGGCCCTGCCTCTAACTGCTTCCTCCCTTCCTGTTGCAAAATAGGTAGGTGCTACACAACTTTCAATCAAGTGTAAAAGTCACAAGATCACCATGGAACCAAGAAACACCAGCATAGTTGGAATAGTTTGTAAAACATAGCTTATAGAGTCTACATTTTGTCCAAACACTTTGTGGGAACACTTAAGGAACATCGACTGAGAAAAATATCACATCTTAGGTTATTAATTTTTCCCATCTATTTCATAGCATGTTCTGCAGCCGTTCCTCCTACTGGGATAATTTTATTTTCCCCACGTAACCACACAAAGCAAACAAAAAACTCTTTTGAGCTTCTGTCTTCTGGATTTTAAATTGTTGTATGTGAACTTTTGATCAACATTCAATGCCTGCAATAGTTTTGCCTGTATGAAAGGCAGGCAGGCTTTTAGTGGAAAGGAAAAGCAGGCACAGAACAAGGAAAGAAGAAAACAGCTCATGATCAGTTCTAAGAGGTTTGATTTACTGCCTCTGTTTGGGATTTCAGCCCAAGAGTGTTACCCAGAAGTTCTCCTGCTGAAAGAGTAGGCCTGATTCATGAGACAAAGACAGGCTCTGCCACTGGCACCTTAACCACCACCCATCCCCCATGCCCCAGCAGTTGTTAAGCTAATAAGAGCAACAACTGCAGGGCCAGGTTGTATATTAAATATTAATGAAAAAGCAGAGGGGGCTGATGCAGATGGCCTCACTCAGGGAATGTGCTTCGTCAAATGCTATGCAAAGATGCAGCACTGTGCTGAGCTGGCTCCAAATGTCTCAACTCCATCCTCAGGCTGCAGTACCTGGATCCTTCCCTAACACAGCTGATCTTGCAGGTCAAGAACATTCTGGTTCCAATTCACCTTGATACGAAATACCAACGCTGCTGGGGTAACACCAACAGGGATTCCCTCTAGCCAGTCTCCTGGCCCATTCCTTCCCCAGGCTGGTCTTCACTCCTGAAGTATCACCAACTGCTGCTCACAGAGTGGCAGCCTCTGGACTCCACGCGACAACCACGGGGGCCTCCCCTAGCAACACCAAAGATACTTTCAGGACAAGTAACCCACAACAGCCTGGCAAAGAACTCAGCAGCTGCTCTACAAAGTAGAGATTCCTTCAACAGCAAAACAAAATTCACTGCAGAAAAACATTGGGGATGTTCCAGTCTCTCAGAGTTAGGCAGAATTCCTAAAAGTACAGTGTTAGGGTCTTCACCATACTAATTTCATGTTACTGCAGAAACAAAACCCCATGGCAAAATCCCCCATTAACACATACTCTGGGGCAGGATAGTGTGCATATATGCAAATCCACCCACTCATCCCGGACTACACTGTGAAACCAACATTTAGGGGCACCCAGGGTGGAAAATGCTAATCTGATGGCAAGATGGGTGCTCAAGAGGAAGACCTAAACCTGGCTCTACTATTGCATACATAAATTTGGACACATTTTATAACCACTATGGCTCAAATGATTGTTTAAAAAAAAAAAAAGGAAAGCAATTCCTGACCTAATCACCTTACAGAGCTGTTGTTATCGGCCTAACTTCAAAAAGCATGAACTGCTAGGTACACTTGTGAGATGTTATAATTAGGCCCAGGGCAGAAGGGGTAAGTTCTAACTGAAAGCTCCAGAGCTGCCCAACCTTCCTGTCCAAGAACATCCCAGGAAGCCCAGGTGTTCTGCAGGATTTGCTGTGGGAAGTGAAGAATTGGGGCCTGTTACTCTTTGAAAGAGCAGATGCAGGCTACACAGCAAACCAGGTCTGATTATCCATGGCTGAGACTTCATCTCCCAAACATTATACAGCAACAGTCCACATGGCTGTCTTTAAAACATGCCAAAGGCTGCTGGGCATCTGGAGAGTGGAGCAGCAAATGGAAGCACACTCACACACACACATGTACCCCCATGGTGCCCTCCCAAGTTAATTAAAAAAAAAAAGTTTTCTTTCAATCATTTAAAAATTGCATAAAGTGACGTTACGAAAGGAGAGAAACTAACAAATCTCTTCTCCCCTAAATGCTTCTGTGAGAAGCAAGTTACAGATACAGGAAGGCAGAGGAGCAGAAAGAACACAAGAAGAGTGTCTGTGGTTGCTTTGCTGAGAAGGTGGCAGAAAAAGTGATAGAAGCCTGAGGCCTCCCAGGCAGCAAATCGCTCCGGCTTTGCCTGGGACACCACTCTTGACACTATCACTCGGTGGTTACCAAGACGTCAGCACAGGGACCTCTGGGGGTCATGCAGGTGAACCTCCCCACACAGCTGTCACCATTAGTAAACACAGCCAACTTACTGCACTACAACTGTTACACAAACCCAGCGTCCTGAAACCTGTACTGCACACTATTTGTAGCTAAAATAAACAATATTCTTTATTACCAATCATAGAATTTTGTGGGTCCTGCACAATTGCCCAGGGGCTAAATCCTCACCTTGCATGCTCCAGGATCCCAAATGGGTGCTGGTTCCTATTCCAGCTGCTCCACTTCCCTTCCAGCTCCCTGCCTGTGGCCTGGGAAAGCAGCAGAGAATGGCCCACAGCCTTGGGACCTGGCACCTGTGGGGAAGACCTGGAAGAAGCAACTGGCTCCTGATCAGCTCAACTCCAACTGTTACAGCTACTTGGGGAGTGAGCCAGCGGACAGAAAATCTGTCTCTCCTTCTCTCTGTAAATCTTTTGTTCCAATAATAAAAAAATGTTAAAAAAAACAAATTTTATGAGTTCCACTATTTTTTTTCTCAAGGCAATTCAGACAAGTACGGTGATGCTGCCTCTGGGTCATGGACGTAGTAGGGGTTCCAATTTCAGTTTACCTTTGTACATTTTCTTTTTGTTTCTGTTAAAGAATAACATGTGTGCCTTTTATAGTTATGATAAGGCTATACTTTATATAAATAGTGCACCAAACAAAACAGGTATTTTTCTCTTGTATATTCAAGAAATAGCTTCCCTATCAAATGGGATATTATCCAAGTGAAATCTAGATACACTTACACACAGAGGCACACACACAGACTGATGTGTGTATGTATTTGTGTATTCAAGTAAGTTGCTATTTGTAAAATATCTTCAAGAATTTTATTTTCCCAGAAAACAACAGATGCTTCCTTCAGCAGGAGAGGAATGGTTCTCTTACCCTCAATCAGTGTGGTTTTGCTGAGGAGCATGGACTTACGGTCAGACAAACCTGGAAGCGGAACTCAGCCCTGGCACTTAGCAAGTATGTGACCTTGGCTGATCCATTTTCTTTCCCAGGCTTCAATCTCTTCATGTACAAAACGGGGGCTAGCAGTGGCTATTTCAACAGCTTTACCTCGGGATTAAAAATAAGCCTAGACCGCACTTCTAAACATCAGGTGAGATTGCCACAAGATTTTAAGCAGTGTCTAGCCCACGAATCTAGGCCAGTCAATCCTCATATAATTTGTTTCATCCTTCAGAATAATAAAAACCAGCAGCAGAAGCAGTATGTGTGTTGATGACTTCTTTCATCAAAACACAGAGAGGAAACTGGTTCTTAACTTTTTTATGCAACTATGAATGGCAATGGCAACAAGATGCTTTCACTTGGAGGTAAGAAATCCAGGGCTCAATCCAGCAAATTAAGTTCACTAGTCCCTGGCCTTTCACAGCCAGAAGCAGGTGTGGCCCAAAAGGCTTCTGCAGCGCTTCTCAGCAATCACCAGCACATGGGCACACCCTGTGGTCAGAGAGAGCTGGACCGTCCAGAGGTATGGCCAGGCTGCCAACATTTTAAAATCCACCAAGGAAGGAGGCTGGAATAATTATAATAATAGTAAAAAGAAGAAGAAGAAGAATCAAAATGCATAGGCACTTTCTTGGGAAATACAGGGAAGATTCCAGGCTCTTCCAGGCACAACAGGTGTCTAGAGTGATGGCACACCACTGAACAGCCCAGCCTGGTTTGGGGATCCCTTCTCTTTCTCTGGATAAACCCTGTTGAGACATAGCTTAAAGGTAACATAAAAAGAAAAAAGGGGGGTTGGGGGAGGGGCCCACAAAGCTGCTTCGGCCTTCACACTTGTTACTGAAACATGTCTTCGCCTCCCATAGACGATCATGAAAACTTGCAGAGTGCTCTCCGCACACAACAGGACAAAACTGTGTTTAAATCGGGAAGCCAGCTGCTCCCTGATCAGTCACCCTTTTATCATCAACAGAACTTTAATTAGCCCCCATCTGCTTCCTGTTTCATGCCACCAATCTTAACTTTCACCTGTCTAGAGCAAAGTGCAGTAACTACATTCACAGTAAATAAAAACAACGTGCGTTTCCTATAACATGCAGTTAATTCTCAGCCTATAGCATACTATTCAAAATAATGTACAAATCACTATTTTCCCATAAATGACAATGTTCTTTACCAAAAACTCAACAGAAACTCTCTCTCCCACCCACCACTTCTTGCATTTTTTCCATTAAGAAAGAAGGTTTTCAAACTGTCTGGCTTCAATTTCCTGGTTTTATTGTTAAATATGGGGCCATGTCAGGTCATGTAACAACCACAGATAAATCTCAAAAACACAGTGTTTTTTTTTAAAAAAATTTATTTAAAGAAATCAAGTTATGGGGTCAGAGCCATGATATAGAAAGTTAACCCTCTATCTGCAGCAACAGCACCCCACATGGGTGCCAGTTCAATGCAGCTGCCTGCTAATGCACCCAGGAGAGCAGCAAAAAGATGGCCCAAGCCTTGACCTATAAGGGAGCCCTAGTCAAGAAAATCTTGGCTCCCAGCTTTGCACCGGCCCAGCTCCGGCCACTGGCAGCCATTTGGAAAATGAATCAGTGGATGGAAGATCTGTCTCTTCTTCTTTCTCTCTGCAAATCAGCCCTTGAAATAAAAATCAACAAATCTTAAAATAAAAGTATGAGATATTTACATTAAATGGTAACATTTAAAAGTTAAAAATCTGTTTTAAGGGTAATTCTACCCAGGCTTTCTGGGCCCATCCGACGTACTCTGCCAATAAGCAAGCTTCTGGCAGGAAAGGTGCTCTACCAACACCAACTGTGGGATGAGTGGTCAGCTCTGGACGGGCAGGAAGGCTATCAGTAACAGGATGGGTGGGACTTGTTAAAACTGAGAAATGGAATCAGGGTATTCATTACCTTAGCCTCCAGGCCTTTCTGAATGCTTGAAATATTTCATAAAGTTCTACAACGGTACTACAAAAGCACTGTGTAAAATGGAATTAGTTTTAAAAAGTTTTAGTGTCAAAACTTTCGAAACCCATGTGTAGTCTTTTCAAAATACACATTTTCCCAAGAACTCTTTGAAGATTCCACATACACAGGGATCTCAAAATTATTTCTTCCAAAATAAACTCTTCTTTCTGGGTTTTTAAATTCATTTATTTGTTTTTCATGTGAAAGACAGAGAGAGGGACTCAGCTTTTCTGTCCACTGGTTCCTTCCCAAAACCCATGCAACAGCAGCCGCGACTGGGCCACAGCAGCCCAGAGGCCTGAGCTCAACCTGTGCTTCCAGCATGGGCAGTAGGGATTCCGTCCCTGGAGCCCTCACTTGCTGCCTCCCCACACTTGCACTGGCAGGATCCTGGAATTGTAAGGGGAGCATGGACCCAGATGCAGGCAATTCAAGATGGGATGCATCATCTTATCCACTGAGTCACAGGTCCAATTACAAACCTGCTTTTAATTCAATTTTCCCATAACTTTTTGAAGTACACATGTAAAAGGAGGAAAATGGTGAGCCGGCTCCATATCCCTTTGCCAACACAGGTACCGATCTAACAGCTGGAGTAGCAGTGTTTTTGGCTTGAAAAGTTTCCCAAGTGATTCTAATGCTACCTCCAAACTCATTCTTGCATCTCCTGTAGGGGCTGGGCCCCTGATTACCCACCTCAAAACTGCCCCCCACACATCGAAGTCTGTACCCCAAATGTAAGCATTACTGGAAAAAGAACAGAGTTCAGAAGAGGATTTCTCTTCCTGCTGCTAACAAGCCCAATAACAGAGCACACATATCAAGTCATGTATTTCCATTTTCAGAGAAATGCTGGGTAGATAAGGAGTGGTAACTATCGCCAAGACCAATGGTTGGAAATTTGAGATAATTAGGATTCAATAGTCATGGAATAAAGGCCCAGTAATCTCACTACTGATGGCCACCCAGATCTAGAATGGCTGGGATCAGTTTCAGATCTAAGATTCTGTTCAGTTCTAACATTCTAAAAAAAGGAAGTAAAGCATGTTACTCGGGTTTTTTAAAAACTATTTTAAAAAAAATTTTAGATGGAGAGGAAGGGATTACAATAGGCAAATTTGATTGCTTTACACCCTTGGCCAAACTAATGGAGGTAAAAAGTATCTTTTTTTATTTCCATGTAATGACTGTTTATAGGTCTTGCCTATATTTTCTGCTAATCTAGGGTCTTTTTTTTTTTTTAAACTTGTTGAACCCTTTAGTTCATGGAACAGTAAGCCCTTGACTATAGAGTAAATTAAGATGTTATCTCAAATGTGAAGGACAAAAGGGAAAAGTGGTGAGGGTAATTATATTCTTACAATTGTATTGAACCTGTTAAAACTAAGAAAGTAAATTTGGAGAAAAAAAAAGGCAAGTTTGAAAAACACCATGTTCGTGATATTGTAGTCATTAACACCAAATAATAAGCGACAATTCATTAGATGTTTAAGAAAGGATGTGTAAAATGTAATTATACAATTATGGATAAAAGTGAATTCTGGAGTCAATTTTTACATCATTGTTTTTCAGAAAGAAAAACAGAAGTGGCATGTTATCAAATGAGGAATGTCAACCTCACCTTTCAATTTCCTGGAATTTTCCTCCCCCACTTTCCCCTATAATATATAGCATTTCCTTTGAACTCACACACAGCCAACTTCACAATGGAATTTTGAAGAAAAAAAAGACTGTTCCACAGTGCAACAGGGTCCCGGTGGGAGGGCCGCCCTAGTGCAGGGGAAAAGCCTTATCTCAGCCAGATTACACCAGTTTCAACTGCTCTGGCCTTACAGCATTTAAAAAAAAAAAAAAACTAGGGCATTCTTATCAAACACTGGCATCACCTGGAATTCCTTTTCATTTCTGATGACTCCAGGATAGGTAGAGAATTCAGATTTGCTCTGAGGAAACACAAAGGGGAATGTACTCTCACAGGCATCAGAGCTCCTATAGACAGCTGGGCTTGGGTCAGGTTAGCCCAACTCAGGTTCATCTAGAAGGAAAGGAGTGGGAAACCTCATCTGGCAAAGTGAACCCAGCCACGCAGCTTTCAAGGGTTAAACGCAAAACCTATGGAACAAGGTGTTCAGAGCAGGGCAAGATTCCATCCCAAGGAGTATGGCACATCAGTATTTAAGACACTGTGTCTTTTAGGATCCTTTCAATAAGGCTATGATTGTAACCAGTTCCATGCTGGAGACCTATCCACAGAGGGCTCTCTTCACCCCCTACCAGATC